AATAGATCTGTATTTAACAACCATTTTTCTCTCTTTAACAGTCAAATTGAACAAGATATCTCTTGTGTCTGCATAATAAATCATAAGAGACTCATTGTCCAAATAACAACTCTTTGCACACAGCAATCTATGCACTATTAAATTTATATGAAAGCCAGAAACATAGAGAACATTCTGTAGTAATATCTTGCCAGCATCTGCTGGTGTTTGGGTATAAACTTCAACATCACCATATTGGTGAATTTTACAATGAGTATTTTCAATGAGCACAATATTCAAAGAATCAGTGTTCCAGACTTCAGAAATCTATTATAGAGAATTTTCTTTCTTCTGAGAAAACTGAAGAAATCACAACTTCTGCAGATATGAAACATGCAAGAAATATGCAAAGGGATTGATATTCTGTGTCATTCAATAGTTATGAGCCTGAACTTTTTCAAGAATTTGGTTATTATCTAAAGATATGTTCAGAATACTTTATTTTACTTTTGTTATTCATACAAATGTCAAATAGAGATTATTATTAAGTATCTTGAGATCATACATTGAACCCTCTATTTAAGCTTAAATTTTAATTGCAGAGTTCACATAGATCTAATGCATCTATATTTTATTAATCTAAGTCTACAGAAAATCATAATCTAGAGTCAACATCTCAACTTCAATAATTAATTAAAAATGAACAAATTATCTAGAAGAGTTGTTATGCTAAATAGTTCTGACAACTGAAAAGAATGAATTGAAGATATCAAGCATTTAGCAAATTTTTACTGATTGTGATTGTACATCAATTCAATAAAAAAAACACATTCTAAACTTCAGAAATTCATTATAGAGAATTTTCTTTCTTCTGAAAAAACTGAAGAAATCACAACTTCTGCAGATACAAAACATGCAGGAAATACACAAAGAGATCAATACAGAACTTAAAAGAAGAGAGTTTTAGTGATGCAAGAACTACAGAAGACAATAAGAGACTGTATAGATTCATCTCTAAAAATTCTTATAATAAGTGAATCAGACAATATAGAAGCTACTGCAAAAGAACATCTGAAAGTTCTATATGCTAGAAATGTGATGAATGCTTCTCAATTGAAACCTAGACTAATAGAGAGATTCAAAATTCTAGAAAATGAATCAAAAAATTAAGCAATTGAAGTATATTTACTGAACTATGAAGAAGCATTAAATCAGACTATTATGTACAATATGTGTGAATATATTTATAAGTTTTTTGTTTTTAAACAGTTTCTGAGAGTGATCTTTTAGTATTATAGAGAGTTCTTCTATTTATATCTGTCAAAGCTTCTAACTGAAGAGAATTTAAATAAAGAGCATGAGCTGAATGTTTATAAACATATTTAAATATTTTGGCAGACATTAAAGAAGAATACTGAGTCAGATCAACAGAATAAGCTGTCAGCATATTTCACTGAAAAGATAGTTCAAAATAAGCTGTTGAAGAAGAATAATGAAAATATGAACTTAACATATCTTTATGAAGAGCAATATGATTGAGCATACTGCTCATATTTTAATTCACTTATTCAATCAACAAGCTGAAAACTGAATTCAAAATTTGATAATAAGATCAAGAAAGCATTGAAGAATTCAGTGAACAAAAGAAAATTAAAGAAGAAGATTGCAAATTGAAAGAAATTAAAGAATTCAAATACTAATGAAGAAGTTGATGCTTCAGATGATGTGACAGATGATGATGCTAATAAAGCTGTTGTCAAGATATTCTCTAATCTGACTATCTTCACTTCTGTAATGGTTTTTAACTTCACTAATATGAGTGACAAATATGAACTCTATTCACTACAGAACAGCTTCATATTAGATGGAGGTGCAGATGCACATATTTGCAATGATTTTACAAGATTTCAAAACTACTGGGCTCATAACTATTGGATGACACAGGAGCATGTTATAATCATGTGACTGAGTGTCTATAATATTGCATCTGGTCTGCTCCTAATGAACAAGACATGGCTACTTATAGATGAACATGCTATAACTGAGACTATGAAAAAAACATATGAAAAACCCCTAGCAAATCTCTGCCAGCCCAATAGACAAAGATAATGAAATTGGTACCATGGTTGAGAAGAGATGGTGGTGAATCTACAGTTCTTCAGTTTCTTCTTTGAAAATCTGATCATCTGACAAGTCACCTGACTCCTGCTCAACAGTTAACATAATTCATCACCAAACAATCTAATCCACAAAGTGATCAATTTTTCTACTGTAGACCTCTACTTTCAAAATTCAATAAAATGATCAATGAAGCTGCTATTAAATTGGTGATTGAAGATCTGCACTCACAGGAGGCTTCTAATTATGCCAAAACTGCCAAAAAGTATGAAATCAACATAACTATGTTGGCATGTTGCTTTAAAGGCATACAAGTCTCTAGGTGTGAAGCTGCCTCTCTATATTCAAGAAATCTTACAGATGCACAGGAAGAAGCTCTTCTAGGGCATATTGACACTCTTACAAATCACAGATTTTCTGCTACATCTCAGCTTTTATGAAATCTAGCAAATGAGATTCTACAAAGTGATGTAGAATTCAACTGAGTCTCTCACTTTATTGAACATCATGAAAATTGGCTTGTCAGTGTTTTTCTATGAAATATTGATCAAAAGAGAAAAGCTGCTGACAAGTCTATATACTATTCTTCATTTTTTGATCTAGTAATATCTCTTGATTTTATTGATTTGATGTTGATTTTCACTGGATTAAGACTAACTATACAAATTTCTATAGCTTTGAGAAAAAAGTGAGAAATATAATCTTGAACCCATGAATATTTACAATTTCAATGAAAAAGGCTTTATTATAGAACTAGCAAATACATTTAAAAGAGTAGTCTCTTTACAAGCTTATAAGTGTGATGAAATATTGAATGCTGTACAGAATGATGATCAGAAGTTCATCTCTCTACTTACATGCATCTGTACTGACAGATTCTTCACTACATCAGCTCTCATTTACAAGAGAGATTCTAGAGACATGCAAAATACTTAACTCACTGATTTTAACTGTGAAAAGAATCAAACTTACTTTGCTGCATCAGAAAATGAATGAATCAATGATGAATATGAGATTCACTGACTGAAATTATTCAATAAAAAGACTAGAGCCAAAGCTGACTCTGCAGACAGCAAGTGAAGTAGACATCTGCTTATACTGAACAGACACATCTCTCATATTAATATGCAGTTCATTGATTTTGCTGACAAGAATAAGATTCTACTGCTTGTTCTTTCACTCAGCTCTACACATCATTTACAGTCTCTAGATATCAGACTTTTTGGATCAATACAGCACTATTATTCAAAGAAACTAAACAACTTTCTTCAGCAAGACATGGACTTTGTTAAAATGACAAAATCAAATTTCTACATCTTGTTCAAACCTGTGTACACAGCAGCTTTTATGCTGGAAAATATATTATTCACATTTGCAGATGCTGACATCTGGCTGTTAGATTCTAATAGAGTGCTCAAATCTATACAGTTTAAGACTTCAGACATTCAGAAAGCTGCTCTAGAGTCTACTACATCTACTACATGTCAGAGAGTAGACAGACTACTAGACTATTTGAAGAGAGTCAATGTCATCTCTAGACATAGACAAGTCTATTGTGCTCTAGAGAAAATAGCACTGAAAAAAGTGATTATAAAGACTGAAAGAGATGGTCTAGCTGCAGCTCTAAAAGTTGAAAAGAAGCATCATCAGCATGATAAAGTATTAAGTCTTTTTAACTTCAAATAAGCTAATAAAGCTCAATTCTTTTCTTCTTCAAAGATTGTGAAAATGAGAGTCAAAATCATAGAAAAAGAGCAGAAGAAGAAGAATAAAAGAATACAGAAGAAACAGAAGAAGCTTTAACTGACTGTATTAAGAAAGAATCAGACTACTGAGCATGCTGAGCAGCATGCAATTTATGAAGAAGAATGACTAGTAAAAAGACTTGAAAAAGAGATGAATAAAGCTGCAGCTGCAGCTCACAGACAGACTGAAAAGAATGCTAGAGAGACATGTAAAGCTCTGAAACAGACAGCAAAGAAAGAATGAGCTCTACAGCACAAAAAGACTCAGAAAGAGAAGACTGTGCAGAAGATCTGTTAAAAAGATCTGACATCAAAGACTTCTACTTTGTCTACACATTCTGCAGAGTCTGTAACATTCAAAAAGGCTTTAGAAAAGCTCTCTACAGCTCTAACAAGCTTACAATTGAGCTCTCAAACATCAAAGCAAGATTTTGCAATTGCTTTGAAGCTCAAGAAGTCAGAAATGTCAGTCATGTGCAAAGATTGAACTATTAGATCACTCTGTCAATTTATGGATTAATCATACTAATTTCTATGTTTTATTCCTTTCCTACTTGCTGTAACTAATAGCTTAATTAATTTTACTATGTGGTTGTTGAAAAATCGTATTTTGAAGGTGTAGTGGTAATTTTGTAAGAAGCGGTCGTTGGGTGAGATCGGGCGTTCGGTGAGGAATTACGTTAGGTGTTGTTTGGTGATGAATAACAGCTCAGAAAATCGGGAACCCGATGGTAGTGCAAAGATCTGGCTGGTATGGCTGATGGAATGTCTGACCAACTGAGGCAAACTACAATGTCATCATGGCCCTTCCTGCCAACATTGCGGCGTTCTTCAATATAGACCAAACCAAACTCACAAAACCATGAACTACTTCCTTGTCTGTCTTACTGACATGATCCACTAAAAATTTCTACATTGGTCTGACATCCTCAGTGCGTTGCTAATTGCCCTTTTTTTTTATATTTTGCCTCGACTATACCTAAGCATACTAGACGTCATCATCTTTATAGGTTGATTCGCCCACCATCAACGCGAAACAAATTCTTCAAGTTATTTTGTTCTGTTATGGCTTGGCGCTGCTCTGGCTTGAATAACTCGCAACTAGTCAACAATCTATTTGATAGCGGCCTTATCAACAGCGATAGAGTCAAGCATGCCATGCTTGGAGTATGTTGTTATTCATTTCCAGTCAGTTGGGTTCTATATTTACTGACAAATCAGGTTGACCGTGGTAACTATTCACCAACAGAACCCTATGCCGATTCCCCACAGTCCATAGGATATTCGGCCACCATCTCTGCTCCACACATGCATGGCCATGCCTGCGAATTTCTTCTACCTTTTCTCCATTCTGGGTCCCGTGTTCTGGATATTGGATGCGGCTCAGGCTACTTGACTCATGTTTTCGCAAATCTTATTTCAGACAAATCATCCTCTTCATCGCCCGCGGATGGTTGTGTTATCGGCATTGATCATATTCAAGAACTAGTCGACATGTCCCGAAGTAATATGACAAAGTCTGAGTCTGGCCGTAAGCTACTTGAGTCCGAAAAAGTTAAATTTGTTACTGGTGATGGTCGTCTGGGCTGGCTGCCGGATGGCCCATATGATGCTATTCACGTTGGAGCTGCAGCAGCTACTATGCACCCAGCATTGATAGAGCAACTGAAAGCACCTGGCCGAATGTTCATTCCAGTTCAGCTGGGCGGTGAAGATGGAACACACTCCATTTTTGGGTTGGGCGGCCCACAGTACATCTGGGTTGTTGACAAAAATGAATACGGCTCCATTCATAAAGAAAAGATTTTTGGGGTTAGCTATGTACCCTTAACTGATTCACCTAAGTAACAATAAGTTCGTGATGTTTTTCTAAATTGTCATACAGACATACGTTCTATGTAGTACTTTGTGAATTCTAGCCTTCTAGGGTCCCCAGGTGCTCAGGCAGATGGTCTTCAGATGTCTTAACTGCTAATTCCTGGTTCAAAATACAGATGTCATCAGTGTGCAATTGGTATGATGGGGATTAAAGTGTCTTCAGACATCATGAAGTGGCTCAACATATTCTGATCTTGTATAATCAGATTAAGTTACTGAATATTCCTAGAAGTATCAGAAGATCTCAGAATGTAGAAACTGTAATAAAACAGACACTTTCCAAAATGTTTTGTATGATGTTGTAAAATGACAGATGATCATACTTTGTATTGATCAGAAGGTAAATAACTTGTCAGATGATCAGATTCTTAAAAGAGAAATTGAAGAACTGTAGATTTATCATCTTTTCTTGACAATACTGATATCAGTTTAATTATCTTTAACTATCAGATTTATTGTAAGGACTGGGGTTGCAGTCTGCAGATAACATGGCAATGAATCATTAGTTTTTATAGATTACATTAGATCAAGTGAGAAGTAGTTACAAAGAAGTTTAAGTCATGAGAGAGAGAGAGATAACTTATATTACTACAACAGTATCTAGAGTTTCTAAATATATTATTACTGATCTTCATAAAGAAGCATCTGTGACATATTCTTTTGTGTTCAGCTGTACTAATAAGATTATTAATCAGTTATGAAGTTTACAAACTCTAAATGACTAAGAGTATGATCATTTGAGCATGAAAGAGATTTTTATAAATCTTTCTTAGATAATAAAATGAATGTAAGATGATTACAGTAGAGAGTCTTACAGATTTCTCTCTCTTTATAAATTTTGAGTCTCAAAATGTAAATATGACATTAGAATTACAGTGAGAGTGACAGCTTCACTGTGATTGTAATAAAATTCTTACAAAATCTCTTTTTAATATGAAAAATGTACAGTGACTGCAGTGCAGAATTTTAATTCTTTTCTTTTTATAAGTTTCAGTTTTCAGAGGTGGATATGATGATAAGATCACAATAAAAGTCACTGACTGTAAAGACAGAAATTTCCCAACTGAAATTCCATTTCTAATGCACTAATAGAGAATTGAGATGAGACTGGGACTTGATAGTTCAAACTGAGATGAAACTGAAACTTGAATTTCAAGTACAGAGATGAAAATGAGACTTAATTTAAAGAGATTGAAATTATTCAATTAGAAATAGAAATTCTTAATTCCTCTAAACTTAAAATATAATCTTATTTTATACTATTTTTAGTATCAAAATCATATATAAATCATAAATGTATATATGCATTTTGACTTAATGTGCCAATTTTTCTATTTTGTCATATTTTGGTGTACAAATACACTTTTAAAATATAGTTTGAAAAAAATTAAAGTTGTTTTAAAAATAGAGAAATCTAGAGATGGAACTTGAAATATACAATTTGAAACTGAAAAGAGAATAGAACTTTTATCAGTATTTTCAAATTTTGAAAGAGAATTGGAACTAACTACTATCTGATTCATTAAGCTACAGAAAGTCTGTAAGTGATTTGATTGTATAGTAGAGAATACTTCTTTCTCTTCTCTTTGAGCTTCATTGATGAATTCAAAATGCTGACTGTGAGAATGTGAGAATATTACATTCTCAAATATAATTAAATTTATGTACTATATATTGTCTTATATAACATGTGTATAACATGTATAACATCTATAACATTTACAGAGTCATATACATAAATCTTGATTAAATATAAAGTTTGATCTATAACTCTTTTTGAATTAGCTCAAACCTTATTATATAAAAGTTTATTTCAAACTTTATTTTCTAATAGAGTTACAGCAATAAGGTTACCACCATAGTATTGCTTGTATAAATTATTAATCAAGAAAAGAATAATAAATTGAGGTGGCAAATTACATCATAATATGATATTACATTATATGAAATGTCATCATATGTGACATCATCAATAACATCATAAAATTCATTGTTGCATAGTTTATTTTCAAGATTAATAAACTATTGCACATTATATTCAACTTTAACAAGTTTTATAATCAGTTATACCAACTTTCTATAAATCTACATCATAGATATTCTGGTTTATAGAAAGTATCAGCCACTGAAATCAGAATTTATAAAATGCCTCATATAATAATTCAGTTTTCTAAAAAGTATAACTACTTTTTACAAAACTATTGCAAGTATTGCACAATATACTGCATCATACTGCATCATACATTACATCACACATGATGTAACAGTTATAAATCAAGACAAATATGCCATAACTTACATAACTCAAACTCTAAACTCAGAGTCTATAAATAAGATCAAAATCCACACTGCAAAATGTAATTAACAGAACAATTCAATAACTTCTTTGAATATTCATTGACTACTTCTTCTATACTATTGTTTTCTGAACTTTATTATCACTGTTCTCACTCTACTCATTCACCAAAATCTTATATATAACTATATACTTATATATTTATATATATTTATATAGTTATTAGTAAGTACATCCAACTAACTAAGCTTTTGTTGTATGAGCTTCTACTGCACATTTACTTGCTCACACTGACTAACTAACTACTATCTCTATCTAACTACTTTTGTAATTATGTACAGAAAGAAAAACTTCATATCAGTTGCTGAAGAATATTTTTTTTTTTAAAGATCAGTATTCTTACTGAAAGCATGTGCACTGAAAGTATATGTTGTTGCTAGAATTGATAATCATAGTAGAAAAAGTCAAAAAAGAATGACATTTTCTCAATAATGACTTTGTTGATCAATTTTATATGCATCATTGAATTTATAAATTTTTTTTAAGCTAAAGTAGACATGATCAGCCACATTAATGCATATATTTTAATTTAATGTTGTGAATATTATTCTTCATTTAGTGTTAAGTTTTCTCATAGTTATAGTGTATTCTTTAAGTTCTGTTTTAGTATATCAGTGTCATCAATTTAAGTCAGATGTGAATAGTCTTCAGCTTCTGTTTTAAGTGCTCATAGACAAGCTGAGTGAACTTTCCATTGATGATTTGAAAGATGCAGAAGTTTACATGTGATGAAGTTATTTAGAAGAAATTAATGTTCTTCATAGAAATCTCTTTTTTTATTCATGCTCAGAGTGAGTCATTCTTAAATTTCTTCTGTTATTATAATGTCATCTTCATTCAAAGCTGTTCAGATTTCTGTGCTTATAGTGTTTGGTGATTGAATCTGAATGACTTCTTCAGAGAATTGACATAGAAAGTGAAGAAGTTTATATTTAATAGACTTTAACAATAATATAAGTTGATAGTTGATACTGTTGAAGTTTATTCAGCATTTCATTAAAATAACTGTTAATAAGTGAAATAATAAGTGCTTGAGACACTAGATGTCATTTCTTCAAATTTGATAAATTTATACAGTGTTGTTCAGAGAAGAATTGAAAGAATTCAAGACATTGATCAGTGATCATTGTATATCAAGCATTTTTGTACTTAATGAGAGCTGTCAATCATTCACTTTAAATTGTAAATTGTTTACTTATAACATTCAATTCATCTGTAATAAGAATGTCATCATCATTTTGCACTGAAAAGTTTATGAACAGATAAAAAGTTGAGAATTGTCTATTTTGTAGATAGATAGTTTGATCTTGACATGAGTGTTGTGCTATTAATTCTTGCTCTTAAAAGAGTAGATCAGTGAAGCTGAAAAAATTATCATTAATGTCTTTAGATAATAATTTTATTATATTTAGAAACTTTGAGTCTTTGTGCTCTTTGTGCTTTGAAATTTCTATAGCCAATACAGTTGCTGTGTCTGATAATTAGACTGAGCACAGAGACAGAGATTTCCCAACTAAGATTCTGTTCCAACTGTTTTTTTTTTTTAAATGAAATGAGAACAGAGCTCAATCCTCAGAAACAGAGCTGAAAATGAAATGAAGATTGAAAAATTAAATTGAGATTGAGACTAGAAAATTTCAAATGAAACTTACTAAACAGTTTCAGAAGATTCTATGAATTGAAACTAACTACTACATGCTGAGACTAGAATGAGATAGAAACTAGTCATAATGAATCTGAAATTCTCAGCTTCTAGAAACTAGATTACATAATTACAAGTAACAGTCTGAGATAACACATTAAGTATATTTTCATACATAAAGATCAGTTCTGCTGATCTTACTACAATTTTCTCTGTATCTCTCTCTTTATCTGTAATTTGTGATCAATATTTGTTTTTTGATTATTTAACACACTCTAATGAACTGATTCAAAATAACATGTGATTATCAACTCATTCTCTAATATTAAAAGTTGATAGTCATTGAATTCTTTTTTCTCAATGTCAACAAAACAATTCATATCTGACTGTAATGCTGACATCTGCTCATTCTTCAAAAATTCATTTTCTGTCTGCTTGACAATCATTATTTGCTTTACTGTTGATTCTGTAAAATGATTATGTTAATATAAATAGATGTCTTAATCTGAATTGAATGTTTGCTCAACACTCACTGCAGAAGAAGAAACAGTTAATATGTTTTATGTTATTTTAGCAACTGTTAAATATTGTTGATTAATTTCTCTTCATATGTTTGAAATTTCATCATCTATAAGTGATGCAGTCACTGCATCATCAAGATATTTTTCAAATTCACTAATGGCATTAGAATCAGCATCATTATAACTGAAGCTGTCAAAGAAGACACTGTTCAGATTCTAGATTATTTTGTTGTCAGCATTATTATTATATAGTGTTCTGTAAAATCAGTATCTTAATTTATTCTGTTACATCTAATGAACTTAGCACTGACATCTTATGTTATTTATAATACTCATTATAAAATGTTAGAATAAGATCTCAATACTTCTGTCATTCTTCTCACTTTTAGTGTCTTGAGTTCAGTGTATTCATTCACTTAAAAGAATTCAGAACTGCTATAACAGAGTAGAT